ACTCTTAAGTCAGAGTTCAAATCCTGCCTTTATCAATGATGATCTCTGTGATTTTGCCAGGTTCTTTGGCCTCTTTGTATCTCAGTGTCCTCCTCCGTATCAGGGGATGATAAATTTTGAGGATTAAATAAATTCATATATACAAATATAGGTTCACTCTTGTGAATCTATAATTATTTCAAAAGAGAAAGTTTTTTAAAATGCAGTTTAAAACAGGCAACCTATAAGAAAGACTGTCAAGGGGCGCCTGGATGGCTCAGTCGGTTAAGCATCTGCCTTCAGCTCAGGTCATGATCCCAGGGTCCTGGGATCGAGCCCCTTGTGGGGCTCCCTGCTCAGTGGGGAGTCTGCTTCTCCCTCTCCCTCCGCCCCGCTCCCCCACTCCTGCTCTCTCTTGCTGTCTCTCTCAAGTAAATAAAATCTTTTTTTTTTTTTCTTCCTGGATATTCCTATTTTATTTTTGGCTACATCATCACAGAGAAAGGCAGTGGGCGGTTCTGCATGCACTGGAGGGCGTGTGTGTATTCTAGGCAGGGAGGTGGTTACATCAAATAAATAAAATCTTAAAAAGATTGTCAAGACAGAATGTTATGTGAAAAAAAGCAAGATACAGAACAATGTCTCTAGTAAGTGCTATTTTGTGTAGAAAAATGGAAAAGGGAATAGTGAGTTTTTATTTCTGTACCTATTACGATACAGTGCGGACCACGGGTGGGGGGCTATTCTCCACATAGTCATGTAGGGATCCAGTATCAAAGAGGCTGTACTCTGTTCAACAGATGGCTTCCAAGTCATCCTGGAAATTGAAATCCAATCAGCATACCCAAGAACACAGAATCAAACAAATGGCATTTTTTTCTTTCCTATGCCATTGGCCAGAACTCAATCACCTAACTGTTGGGTTGCTGAGAAATGTAATCTAACTGTGTATCTCACAAAAAATTAATTTGGTGAACATGTAGAATTGTCTCTGTCACAAGCAGCTATTAATATGATCATGTGGGTTTTCTCCTTTAATGTTAGTAAGATTTCCTGCTTTTCACTGACCTTTACAAGTAATCCTGTGAGCTAGACTGCAGGATAGCATTCCCACTTGCCCCACTACTATACCTCCCATCCAAAGCAAAGGGGGAGCAGCAGTGGGAGAGGGAGAAGCAGACTCCCCACTGAGCAGGGAGCCTGATGCGGGACTCCATCCCAGGACCCTGGGATCATGACCTGAGCTGAAGGCAGACACTTAACTGACTGAGCCACCCAGGCATCCCTGGAGTAATTAATTTGAAATCCACAAGGTAACAGGGCTTGCTTCAGTAACTTAAGTCACTTATTTTTTTAAAAGATTTATTTATTTATTTGAGAGAGAGGGAGCATGAGCAGGGGAAGGGGCAGAGAGAGGGAGACAAGCAGACTCTCCAGGATCTCAAGATCGTGACCTGAGCCGAAATCAAGAGTCAGCCACTCAACAGGCTGAGCCACCCAGGCACCCAAGGGTGCATTTATCTTTTCAGATTAGTGTTTTCATTTTGGGGTAAATACCCAGTAGGGGAATTACTGGAATATATGGTAACTCTAATTTTAGTATTTTGAGCAAACTCCATAGTCCTTAAAAGACATTCAGTGACTATACCAATTTACGTTCCCACCAACAGTGCATGAGGATTCCCTTTTCCTCAGCACCCTGGCCAACCCTTGTTATTCTGTAATTATTTTCTAATTTTTAAAGGGCATGTTCAGTGGGACCTTATTTATGGGAGGACTGTGCAGCTTGGATCCAGAGTGGATTTCTGCAGTGATTTTGTGTTTGCTTCTGCCTCTTCTTTACTGGCATTACTAGCCTATATTCCCTTTTTTTCCCCCACTTTTTGCTTGTGATCTGGATATCAAAATTCAAACCCAAAACCTGTTTGTGGTGTTGGACTCATGATTACAAGTTTTCAGCAGAGACCTTTTTCTCCACCTGGAACCCCTTCCTTGGTTGTGCCTATCCATGGGTTTTCTTAGCCCATTTCTTCCCCTGACAGTGTAGCCCTTGGAAGGCTCTAGTTCTAGTGTTAAGCTTTACAACCCAAACCCTCAGACAATGGAGAGTACTCCCACTCCCTGTCTTGGAAGCAACAGAGCCACCCCATGGCTTTACTGCTCTGGCTGTCAGTCCCTAATTATTTCAGCCTCTGGGATTTCCCTCACATTCTTGTGAGATCAGCCCCGCACATAAAAGGGACTCTGGTTATATCTTCCTAGCTTTTCTAGGTATTTGAGGTGGTGGTGGTGTGGATTTCAAACTCATTACTCCAGGGGCGCCTGGGTGGCTCAGTCAGTTAAGCATCTGCCTTCGGCTCAGGTCATGATCCCAGGGTCCTGGGATGGAGCCCTGCATCAGGCTCCCTGCTCAGTGGGGAGTCTGCTTCTCCCCCTCCCACTGCTGCTCCCCCTGTTTGTGCTCTCTCTCAGTCTCTCTCCGGCAAATAAATTAAACCTTTAAAAATTAATTAATTAAAATGTATTACTGCACTGTGTGGCTGGAAGTGGAAGGCCTCCATCCTACAATTATGATTATATAAAAATATCACCAAGCCATGGGAAGGAACGCAAATGGAAATAAGATGTGTCTGAGGAGTGGGATTAGAGAGGAAACTCTTCTTTTAAAAATTACCTTTCTATTATTGTTAATGCAACACAATTCAGGGAAAAAAGAGCTGACCTAGATAAATAAAACTCTTAACTAAGCTGATTATTGAAAAAAGGGCCAGTAGCACAGGTTTGGGGCATTAAATGTTTATTAAACCAAGCTTTTAAATTATATCCACCTATAGTCTGTAAACAGATACAGTATACATGTTAAGTAAAAGGCTCTTAGATTAGAAGTGGTGGAAAAATGAAAGATCCCTTCGTACACGGGCACCTCATCACTCCGTGGGCCGATGCCATGGGGCCAGGTTTTAGTTAAGAGTTAAATGAAAAACCAAAAGGAGTTTAGCTCGACTCCACCCGCTAGGATGGATTTCAAGACAGGTATTTGTTCCACATTATAGTAGGCTAGATTATAGCAAGGCAACAGTGAAGTTTTTACATTCACAGATTGGCTGAACTAGTACAAATTAAGCTTTTCCTCTAGATGTCTCCCTCCCTATTACCATAATTAGTAAGGAATGAGAATTAAAATTAAACGATGGACCACAGGTGATTACAAAAATAGATAACTTGTAGAGTAATAAATATCTAGTCAGCAGATCACAAACTTACAAAATTTGCCTTTTTCCATTAATGTGCAGGATATCAGAAGTTATGTTCAAGAGGTACAGTTAGTGGACTTCAGACTGGCAAGAGAACACTCATAAAGAAAAAACAAGTACAAAACCCAGAGTAGGAAGCTGAATGCAGACGAGAATATACATAAAACAAAATCCTAATTCCTCACATCTAATTATCCTACTTAATAGACACCACAATTAGCTTACAGCCCTTTATTATCTTAAAAAGTAACACTTTGTTATCTATGTACAAATTTTTAAAAAGATTAATCATGAGACAAGCAAAAATTGATTAACTTAACAGTGGCACAAAAAATCAATGAAACTTGTAGATTTTGTGTGCTTTCATAGACTTCTGTGTATGAGGATTTAAAATGCACCCCCTCCAGAATGTTTTGGATTGAGTTTTTTAAAATCCCCCCCCCAAATCTATTCTACAATCATTTCAGATATAGAAGGAAAAAAAGTCCCAAACTGGAAAATTAAAAAACAAACAAAAGTCAAAAATCTCACAAAGTGACTGAAAATCCATGAATATATAAGTGACATTCAGACCTTCCTTTAACACTTACCAAGTGCTATGTAAGGTAACTATAATGCTATCCTGAAACCAATCTCATTTAAGAAGATACAGTAATCCCCATTCTAATTCTAGAATTAAAAGCACTTATTCGACATAATGTGCGTTTCAGCGAGGTTGACATCTACTTGGTTGTACTTGACAGTGTCACCTTAAAGCTTCATCGAAGATTCATTGCAGGCCTGAACTGTAAAAGTTCAGAGCTAACAATACCACAGGTAGGTAGTTATTCATCCTAACTCTTGCAGGGAGTAAAGGGTATACTTGAGCTGTCCTCAGGTCACCGTAGCCTAGAACAGTGATCCCTTGAAAATTCGGCAAGATCCTCTGCCAAAAAAAGCTTCATAGTCTAAGCTGTTTGGAATTTGCTGGGATACTAACATACATTCTTTGCCTTCAAGAGAGGTGCGCAGAGGCAGCTTTTCCCAAATGCACTTGACCTTGCCAGAGAACTCCCCAAACAACCATGGGATCCCAGGACACTCCTGTCCTATGAAACATGGTTTGAGAAATGCCAATCTGAGTAGAATTTCTAAAGTAGTGGTTCTCATATTGTAGTGAGCATCAGAAACACATGGAAGGCATATTAAAGTATAGAGATACCTTACCCCACTTCAGAGGTCTGGGGTGGGACCTGGAAGCCTGCATTTCTGAGAGACTCTAAGTGGAGCTGCTGGAGTGAGGACCGCACTCTGAGTGGCATCCACCTAGACAGGACCCACACAAATCTCAGCTGCAGGAAGCCCTGTTAGAGTCTCAGGAAAGGCTGCGCATGGCATCTGTCACAACCAACCATCACTGGATCAGCCCAGTGATGCCTGAGGTCTGGGCACCTTGGTGGGGTGGAGGAAGACTGGACTTGACTCCCAGCTCTGCCCCTACTCGCCAGGTGACCAGCACTGTGACTGCAACTCAAAAGAGGAGTAACAGGAGTCCCATCTCAGTGGATCTGTGAGACTTAGAGGAAATGTTTGCACAAAAGGACTACCCAACAAAAAGCATCATACAAGTGTCATTAATCAGTAGAACATGTCAGTCACAGCAGGAAAATCCCAGATGCATTTTCTGTCTTCCACCACTGCTGAACCTTTATGAAAGCACACTCTGGCAGCTAATGAAGAGAAAAGAGGCTAAAAATGCAGAAAACTGCAAAGAGGAAGATACGTAAGTGGATCACCTAATTAAAAATCTCTAATTGTTAAAAAAAAGATCAACCCACAATCAAAGTAGTTAATTATGCTGGCTTTGATATAGAGTTTAAGTTACAGTATGTTGATCTTTGAACACACTCACTCGTCCGTTCTACCATGTTAATGCTGGTTCAGTTTTAACATCAAGAGACTGAGGGGGAAAAAAAAAATCCCTTCACTCAAATGCATATGGATTCGATGTAAAAAATTTAGCTGAGATCATTCCCATCTTCTAAGCTACCACCGTGGGAAAATTTCAAAGTAATTTTTAAAAAGGACCTTTAATTTTGGTTCATAGAAACATCCACAGCATGAGAAATGAACAGACTCACACATTCACGCATGTGTCTATTTGTTGCCCACCACATCTTAGCCAGTGAATTGTGTCTCGCAATTCAGAAATGAACTGGTAAAAATGCATCCGCACCCATGACAGGATTATGGTCAAGCGAACATAGTGTTGCCCAGTCCCAGTTTCCATTTGAACGAAAAAGACTGATCAGAAAGGCAGCACGTTCCCCAACACGCTGCACCATCCACTTTATACGTGCTCTGGGTGGCTCTGGAGACAAGACAACATCTCTTGAACGGGTTTGCCTTCATAGCAGATCTGATACACTGCCGTAAACAACGGGAACCTGGTTGGGAGGAAATGTGGAAAAAGACAAGTTGAGCCATCTGGTTTACCTCACAGAACAAATGAGTCTTCCTCTCCTGCCTAACAGATTGCAGATGGGTGTACTACTTTGGACTACAACAAAGTGACTGCCTTCTATATTCCTCTATTATTTGGTGGGCAGAGAGCCACTGCACTGTGGCTGTAAGATGCTGGTATGACCTAGACCATCCTCTGCCTACTTGTTCGTGGTGCATGGTCTACCAACAAGTCCCGTGGTAATCCTTGCAGGGCCATCTGTGGTTATTTACATGAAGAGCTGTAGCTCAGGCTCTTGGGCAAGTCTGGAATGAGTCCAAGTTTCTGTCAATAATTTAAAAGACTGGAGAATAAATTTTAAATTGCAAGGAGGTATTGCTCTCTCTCCTCCAAAACAGATCATCCAAGGATAAAGATGAGGTGGCCCACACATCACCATAAATAGTTTCGGTCTGGAACATTCCTGCAAGAATCAACGTGGGCACCCACAATTAGCAAAGCAGATCTCAAGTGGGAAGCTGGGCTTATTTTGCCTTTTTTTCCAAGATGTGAACACAGATATAAGTGAAAGTCTGAAATGGCTGAGGGTACAAAGGTGTGAGCTAATAATCCACCGTGAGAAAGGACAGCATTATCCCAGGGTCCAGCTGGCTCAGCAAGTATTTTAAATAGTAGGTATTACTAAGGAAATAACAAAGTTAATTTCAATTAGGCTTTTGAAGACACACACACACACACACACACACACACAGAGCCCAAAGTAAGCTTATCAAGCTTGATCCTATCAGGATCAATAAAGTCTTAAAGGCCATTTTGAAAATTATCTAGTTGGAATCCTATAATGACAACTTAATTTAAGAATGGCAAACAGCCCTGATAGGTCATGTGTCTTATCACGGTGGGTTTTTTAAGAATGTTTTATTTTTTTGGAGTCAGGGAGGCAGTCAAATCTGACCCCACAATCTATCCACTCTGGGCGTTTCATAACCGCTCTGTAAAATGGGGCAGGACCTGTTGTGTTAAGGCCTGTTGTATGAAGTGACTTACATGTAACCTGCAGAGTGTAACATTTGGCACATGCTGGGTGTACAGTGACAGTTTATACACACCGCCACAAGATGGCCACTAGGTCCTAGCAAGCTCTTGGAGGACAAGGCCCCAGATGTTTTATTCACCTCTTCATCCTTGGGGCCTGGCACAGTGCATAGATGAGGGAAGATGCTCAGCGAATATTTGTTGAATGAACTACTGGGAATGGGAGTTAGAGCCTGCATATTTTAGCCCCTTCGTCTTTCCACGGCTTAGATGTCCTGATCCCATGATGAGAACAACTTGTGTGTCCCCAAAGCAGGGTGGCAGGTGATGAACGGCCACCCAAAGCCATTCCCAAATCCCTTCACTCTTTACCAACGTTGCAAATAGCCTAATGCTCAGTTTCCCAGCCTTACTTTCTCCTAGAATTAGCCAAGGAAGCAAATTCTAGAAAGCAAGACACGACACTTCTGCTGAGGGCTTCTGGGGAAGACACTCTCTCCTTGAGAGGCACTGGAGGAAAACTCTGCTCCCCCAGATTGCACCTGCTCCATGTCACTAAGTGCAGCTGTGTATGTGATGCATGGAGCTGCTGCAGCCATCTTGAGGTTTTGAGGGAAGACCAACAGGATCACTGAGATTCTAAGCTAGAGGCACTGTGCCAACAGTAATAATGTCCACCTCCAGAATCCTTGTTCCATGAGAAAAATAACCCTATTGTTTGAGGCATTTTAAACTGGGCATTTCTCTTGCAGCCAGAAGCGCTCCCGCCTTTCACAATCAGCACTTCCAAATTGTGTAGATGGGATGCTAACAAGAGATTTGGAGTATGGGTGGGGAGGGGGAGGGAATTTTTTATGGACAATTAACTTGTTTAATCCTCACAACCACCCTATGAGGTGGGTAATAACATTATCACCATTCCACAGATAAGGAAACTGAGGCATAGTTTCTGACTCTGGAGCCAAGATTCAACCACTAGGCTAGACTGCCCATCTAAGTGTTATTTTATATAACATAAAATGCTATAAGGCCAATTAGATCAGTTTGGGGAGCTCTCTAAATGAGGTTAGAGATGAAAGGAGGACAAAAGACAATTATTTCATTGAAAAATACTGGCATAAGCCAAATCAATCAGCCATCCCACTAATGGACACTGAGGACTTAAGATGTGTCAATCTTCAACCATGCGCAGGATGTGGAGTATTATCAGTAAGGCCCCAGCCCTCAAGGAGCTTACAACACTGTTCTAGACTGAGTTGTGCCCTCAGCCCCCAAACTCATCCAATGAAGTCCTAACCCCCAGTACTTGTATTTGGACATAAGGCCCTTAAGAAGGTAATTATATTAAAAGGGGTTCATAAAGTGTGGGCCCCAAACCAATACGGCTGGTGTCCTTATGAGGAAAGGAGATTAGGACTCACCCATGGACAGAGGGAAAACCACATGAAGACCTAGGGGGAAGATGGCCATTTACAAGCCAAGAAGAGAGGCCTCAGGAGAAGGCACCTGCTGACCCCCTGATCTTAGACTTCTAGCCTCCAGAACCGTGAGAAGGAAATTTCTGCTGGGTAAGCCTCTCAGTCTGTGGTAATTTGTTATGGCCGCCCTAGCAAACGAATACAAACACCTGATACTCACACATGCTCATAAAGATGCATGCACAAGCTGGGCGCCTGGGTGGCTTGGTTGGTTAAGCGACTGCCTTCGGCTCAGGTCATGATGCTGGAGTCCCGGGATCGAGTCCTGCATCGGGTTCCCTCCTTGGCAGGGAGTCTACTTCTCCCTCTGACCCTCCCCTCTCTCATGTGCTCTCTCTCTCTCTCTCATTCTCTCCCTCAAATAAATAAATAAAATCTTAAAAAAAAAAAGATGCATGCACAAGGAAATTTAATAAAGCAAAATTTGTAATGGCAGAAAACCCCAGACAACTTTACTATCTATCCAGAGGAGACTGGTTAAATAAACTGTGGTTCTCCCACACAGTGGAATGTTCTGCAGCCATTAAATGAGATCTATTGGTGCAGATGTGGCACGATCTTCAAATCATCCTCAAGTGAAGAAAAGCAGGGCAGAACGTGGAGCGCAGCATCCATTCTGTAAATGGAAGGATATACTAAAAACTCAGAAAGCTTCCTGTGTTGAAGGTGGGGATCACTTTTCACTGGGTGCCTTTTTCTAGGATTCGATTTTTTTTTTTTTTTTAAACCAGGAGCATGTTGGCCACCCCCTCAAAAAATCTAGAAGAATGAAAGTAAAATTGTGTTTATGTAAGACGCCCACAGCATATGAGCAGCGGGACTGTCTAAACCTGGGGTCAGCAAGCCACAGCCTGAGAAGCAAACCTGACCTGGGGTCTGTTTTGTACTATCTGCAAGCTAAGGACGATTCTTACATGTTTCAAGGGCCATAAAAGGAAAAAAATATATATACAACAGAGAGCTGTATGTGGGCTGCAAAGACTATTTATTTATTTTTATTTTTTTTTTTAAAGATTTTTATTTATTTGAGAGAGAATGAGAGATAGAGAGCACGAGAGAGAAGAGGGTCAGAGGGAGGAGTCTGCTTGTGGGACTCGATCCCGGGACTCCAGGATCATGACCTGAGCCGAAGGCAGTCGCTTAACCACTGAGCCACCCAGGCGCCCAAGACTAAATATTTATTATGTGGTTCTTTACAGAAAAAGTTTGCCAATCGCTGGTGTAAACAGCATGTTCAAAGCGGGGAAAGTTGTTTGCGTCTGGAGGAGGTGGATGAAGGCTGCTCTGAGGACAGACCCAGGCCGCCTCAAGGGTGGTCGGGGCTGACACACACATCAAGGAGGGCTGTCCAGGCAGGCCAAACAGCAGGAGGACAGAGGCAGACAGAAGTCTCTGAGAAAAGGGTCTCGGGGCAAAGGGAGGTCTGCTTCAACTGAAGACGGGGTTGTATGGCGTCACGGGACATGGTGTTAGAAAGTTCCGTGGGTACAGAACTGAGTGGCGCTGCCCCAGATGCCAACCTAAGGACTCATTCTGGATGAGCAGGAGGCTTGCGAATTAGAATACTCGAGGTAGAAGGCACCATGGCAATCATCAGGTGCACCACTTTGATTTGGCGGGTAAAGAAAACTGGGGCACAGATAAAAATATGACCTGCCCAAGACCACATGGCTAGTAAGCCACCAGGTGGCTGGAAATGCTGCCCTCCCACTCACCACTCTTTCTAGAACCATAGAGAAGAGAAGGGGGGAAGAAGGAAAGAGAGGAAGACCCGAGTAGAGTAGCGATGGCTGGGACGACAAAGGGAAAAAAAATCAAGGGAGAATGGAAGCGTGGTATCCCCTCCAACCCGGCAGTGGCCTCATTAAGCACAGGAACAGCCTGTTCCGTTTCTAATCAGGAGAAGGAAAACGGGACATGATGGAGGAGGGGAATCTGCTCAGAGCCAAGTTTCACCTGCTTGATTACACTTGCTTTTTTTTAAAAAGGGCGCAGGTACTAATCCCAGAACGCCAGTTCCAATCCGTAACCTCCCCAAGTTCCACGATGAACACAGACTCATCCATTCATAGGATCCTATCAAATACGCCCCATGGTAGCGGACAGATGACACTTTAAAACCGTGATTAGGAGATCATCAGCATCCACAAACAAAAGTTATTTTCTTAAGACTTTAAAAAAACTCCTGATAACGGTCCTTAAAGTAGCCCCACCACACACAAACACATCGCTGTTTGCCCTTAAGCATGTAAGGAAAACCATGCCCACTGGAGGTGTTTTCCTTTTAGCCACGATTTAAAGGTAATTCTCCTCTAGAGGCCTGTTTATGACTTCCATCTCTGCCTGGCTGGTTCTGAAAGCCATTTCAGAAAAATAAAATGCAAATTAAAGAAGGAAGACTAATGTCCTGTCCTCCCTTCTTTTCAACTTTCTATAGGGAACTCTATGGCTGATCAGTGTGTACTGGTCCAGAGAGGAGGAGAGCTGGGTGTAGGGGAGGTAAAGGTGGGTGGTCAGGACCAGCAGACATCTGGATTGAGCGGAAGAGGAGGAAGGAGACACACCAGAGAACCATCAAACACGTCTATAACCATCACCGGCTCAGGGAGAAGTGTGTGCTCCGGACTGGCCACACCTGGCAGTGTCCCCACAGCTGCCCGGCCCCCTCCTCTCCCAGGCACGCAAACCTCCCCCCTCCCTCCCGAAGAGTGAAGGATACACAGAATATGCTGTGTACGCAGTTATTAGATGGTTTCATTGGCCTCGTGGTTATAGAAAAAGGCTCAGCAAATGAGCGAAATGACCACCGGGCAACCGCAGAGAGGTTGGCAGCTTTGTGGTGCTATTGGGTTTATTCCCTCGATCAGGTGGCAAATCAGGCTGTCCCAAGCCCACCTTTAGCAGCTGACCATCCCGAAGGGCAGTGGAGGCTAGAGGCACCCGTCCATCCACAGGACACAGAGACTGTAAAGCTGCTCAGCAAACCTTAAAGCAGGTCATTGCTAGTGGTAGAATTCTGGGGTAACTTGTTACCTTCTTCCTTTCCAAATTGACCTTTTATTAACAAGACTGTATCTTTTTATAACAAATAACAAGGTAATCTTTTTTTTTAATTCAAAACTTATAACATGTAGCTCTTACCAGACACCCTGCAGGATAAACCAGGACCTCAAACTTCATGTTTTGTAACATGCTTTAGAGAATTGAGTTCTTGGGGACCCTGGGAGGCTCAGTTGGTTAAGCATCCGACTCTTGGTTTCGGCTCAGGTCATGATCTCAGGGTCGTGGGATTGAGCCCTGTGTCAGGCTCTGCACTGGGCATGGAGCCCGCTTAAGATTCTCTCTCTCCCTCTGCCCTGCCTGCCTACTCCCCCCCGCCACCTCCCTGCTTGCTCTCTTTCTCTCTCTCTCAAAAAAAAAAAGGAGAATTGAGTTCTTCCCCCTGAAGCTGAGCTCGGTTCTGTGTCAACACTCATTTTCAGGGCAGGAAGAGGTTTCCTGCCACAGATGTTCACATCACATGAGGGCGGAACTATGTCAGTGGAGTTCTGCACAGAGCTCTGCCCATGTGCACTGACTGGGCTGGTGGTCATGAGGGAAGCAGGGGGTGGCCCTCTGGTCGCAGGGACAGTGTGGGGGACTTACTTGTCGACCAGCCCCTTCTGTTTCAGGATCCGGTACACTTCAGCGGACGTCTGAGGTCCTTGGAGCTTCTGTCCATTCAGCATCTCCTTCTCCAATTCTTCGATGGTCTTAAAAACAAGGATGAAAACACTATTGTAAAGACTAGAGAGTGGGGACGCCTGGCTGGCGCAGGGAGTTAAGTGTCTGACTCTTGGTTTAGGCTCAGGTCGTGGGGATCTCAGGCTCGTGAGATGGAGCCCCAGGTTGGGCTCCGTGCTGAGAGCAGAGTCTGCTTGACATTCTCTCTCCCTCTGCTCCTCCCCCTCCCGCACTGGGCACAAGGGCGCGCGCGAGCGCATGTGCTCTCTCTCAAATCAATCTTTGAGAAAAGAAAAGACCGGAGAATCACTTATTTCGAGAGGAGAGTGGCGGAGGGGGGCTGCCATCCTCAGCTGTAAACCACAGAAAGAGAGACCTACAAGCTAAAGCGCTTGGGCACGGGTACTTCTAAGCAAAAACAGATGGGTGTCAGTGGGATACGCCCAGCAAGTGCTCGCCCCAGCCCAGGGCTGTCAATGAGGACAAGCGGGCAGACAGTCGGGCGGACCCGCGGACCGGCGGGTGGGCGGGGCTGGTGTGGGGTGGGGTGGGGGCGGTTAGGACAGGCCAGGGGCTACCTTCCCGGTTCTGGCAAACGCCTCGGCCACCCTACGGTTCCGGCCTCCGTAGCAGGTGGTGATGAGGTCGGCCACGCCGCAGCTCTCCAGGAAGGTGGCCGTGGACACCTGGCCCTTGCAGAAGATCTTGGCGAAGGCGATCATTTCCATGAGCCCCAGGCGGATGACAGCAGCTTTGGTGTTGTCCCCGCTGTGGAGGCCGTCGCAGAACCCGGCTCCCACCGCTACAATGTTCTGTGAAGGAGACAAGGAGGCCCAGGGATGCCCGTCACATGCCCGCAGCAAACAAGGCTGCTGGAAGGCTGGGGGCGGGGGTGGGGGGCAGCGGGTAAGGCCCCTGGCCTACGCTCAGAGCGCTCCACTGGCCCCCGCACCGCTCCAGCTTCTGCTCTTGCACCCCGACCGCCCGAGGTAAAAGAAGGCGCCAGGCTTCTACACTCCCGTTTAGAGGAACCCAAGAGCCCAGGTCCTGGGTCAGAAGGAAGCCTCCGTTGGGGAGCATCAGCCAGAGAATTAGAGTGGCTGACTCTGGTCAGATACTGTTTGGACAAACTGCCTTTTTTTTTTTTTTAATCGAATGCCTGATTGAATGAAACATTCACGTGGAAAGGTATGCAGGTCATAAGTATACGGCTTAGTGATATTCTCACAAACTGAACACACCCTGGGAACCAGCACCCTGACGGAAAAACAGAACATAACCAGTGCCCCAGAAAGCCACCCTCACACCCCCCCCAGTCACCACCCCCACACAAAGGTAACCACTCTTCTAACAACATAGATTTGCTTCACCTGTCTTTAAATTTTATATGAATAGAATCGAATGCAATCATTGGGGTGTCTGTCTCAATTCGACATCATGTTTGTGAGTTTTAGGTGTATTTTTACATATGGCACATTTATTTTCATTGCTGCATTGCATTCTTTATTTTATTTTATTTAAATGGAGGGACACCTGGGTGGCTCAGTCAGTGAAGCATCTGCCTTCAGCTCGGCTCATGATCCCGGGGTCCTGGGATCGAGCCCCGCATTGGGCTCCCTGCTCAGTGGGGAGCCTGCTTCTCCCTCTTGTGTGCCGCTCCCCCTGCTTGTGTGTTCTCGCTCTCTCTCTCTGACAAATAAATAAAAATCTCTTAAAAATAAATAAATGAATAAATGAATAAAGGGAATTAGCTTATCATGTAGTATTAGTTTCAGAGAGGTAGAGTTCAGGGATTCATCAGTTGCATAGAACACCCAGTGCTCCTTGCATTCTACTGTGTGAATACAGTACCATGTTTTTTTCCAGCCATTCTCTTGCCAAACTGGGTAGTTCCCAGTTTGGGGCCACTGCAAATGGTGCTGCTGTGGCCAGGCTGGTTGGCCCTGGGTGACCACACGCAGGCATTTCTGTTGGGTGTGTGCCTGGGAGTGGCGTTGCTGGGTATGTCTGCAAATGTGCTGTTCAAGTTTCGGCCTTTTGTTTCACTTAATTACCCCATACAAGCATTCATGCCCGCCCCCCTCCCCCACATGGCCCTTTGCTATACCCAAAGCAGAAAAGACCGAGAGCTGCCTCTTCAGAAGCTGATAATCTGGTTCCGGGATCAGCACACTAAGGGCCAACTGCCTGTTTTTGTAAATGTCCTGGAGGCCAGGGCCCCCTGCTTGTTTGCGCACCATCTGTGGTTACCTTGGTGCTGTTAACAGCAGATCTGAGTACTTGCCACATAGACCCTATAGGCCACAAAGCCCACAGCGTTTCCTATGTGGCCCTTACAGAAAAAGTTTGCCAACCGCTGGCCTAATAGGAAAATAAAAGGGTGCCCATAATTATAACCTGGGCAGAAAAATGATATCCCGCAAGAGGGACTGAGAATCTGATTTTCATTTCAACCTGTGTGTATGTGTACTAAGCATGCCCTGTGTGGGAAGCTCTACACAGGGCCCAGAGGGTGGTGCCGGGGCACATGGGGGCTGAGGGTGCCCCCAGAGAGGAGCTACCAAGACAGAATGAGACACAGAGCTTGTCCCTGAAGACTTGACAATACAGTTGGCCTAATAGACCACAAAGCGCATCAAGGACGAGAGCGAGCGGAGGGGTGACAGGGGCCACAAGCTTCATTTCAGAGCAGGGAAGCCTGCACCAAGAAGGGGGTGTCTGAGCTAAGCCTCAAATCCCATGGAAAACCAAACAACCATATATGACAAGTAATATCTGCATGTGCCCACTCATTTGGGACTTCGGGCAAGTCCCTGGGCTCCTAGCCCTGCCCACGTGACCGCCTCCTGCACCGAGAATGCTTGATGCCAGGGAAAATGCCAGTATTTTGCCTTTGTCTAACTCCACTAGCATTTTTCCATACTACCTGGTGGCTACTGATGAATTTGTGCCTGGAGAGACCTTAAAATATGAAGCTAATTGGTAACGAATAGGAGATGAAATAAGCACATCTTTTCCTCCAAAAAAAAAAAAGAAAAAGTGTTTTTTTTATTAATGAAAGAATTCTCTCTCAAAACATCAGGCCTATAGAATTTGACGGACGAGGTTAAAAACAGAACAAACCGGGGAGGAAAAATGTCTTCTCTGGTTGATATGCAGTTTCTAATAAAATACATCAAACGCAGCACTGATGTGGCCAGGCTCACCCCGAGAAACAGAGCTGGCCATTTAAACACAGCAATCGCTCACTGGGAGACCGAAGACACAAAGCCATTGCAGATGAAAAAGAAAAAAAAAAAACAAACCCAAAAACCACTGAGCCCAGCTGAAGCTTTTGTCTACTTCCAATACACCAATAAAACAGCATCCTCTCTTCCAAGCTTCAAGGGCGGAATGAAGAGGCCTAGAAGAGGGGATGGGAGTGAAGGAGTCCCGAAATCTATCTTATTCTCTTGGGAATAATCCCAGGGCTTACTCTGGTTGCTGGCTATTCTCGTGGCTACTGACACGGAAAGGGAAGAGTAAAACAATTCTCTAAAAAATGATCAGAAAGCTGGCATAAGCACGTGCAGATTTTAGACGAATTCGCTCTTTCTGTGCTCTAGAGGGTCTCCCAGTGAGGTTATGGGCTGTTCTAACAGACCAACAAAGTAGCTTCCAGGTGGATCACTCTCCCCCTTACAAAGGCCGGACTCCATGTAGAGCCCGCTGCCCACAGCTGCATGTAGAGCTGATGAGGAAATCGGGTCTTCTGCATTCATGGCCTGAGCAGAGAGCCTGTGTTTCTCAACGGTACTAACTTCTGTATGTACCTGCAGAAGCCTCCCAACCCCTTCCTACCCACGCAGGCAATGGAAGCTCTGGGTTTGATCAGCCCTCGACAGCACCCATCCCTCCCCAGGCACCTGCTGCGCATGCTCACCGATGCAGGAAGCGGGCAACTCCTGGCTTGGCACACTCTTAGGCTCTGGCAGCCTCGTGTGAAGAGGAGAGGGGAGAGGTGGTGGGGAAGGAGCCCCGAGATGCTGAGGGGTGAAACAATCCCTTAAGCTTTTAGGTGGGGCACCATGCAACGACGAACCGGGGATGGTACGAACACCCAAGGGCTGGGTCCAAACAGACCCAAACACCCCTCCTGGCAGAGCAGCTGGACGAAGGAAGCCGGGGGAGACACCGGAAGCACATGCACTGATAGTCGGATGGCCTCCCGCCTGCGGTTCTCTCTCTGCCTCATTGCTTCTGTGACCTTGGGACAATGACTCCACCTCTCTGAGCATTCTGGGCCTCAGGGATAAAATTCAGGGCTTGGATAAAATCTTCCAAGGCCCTTCTGGTGGTGACATTCTTCCAGGAAAGCTGGTGCAGCTGTGGCCAGCCCCAAGGCTGCAGATAAGCGGGGGTGGTCCCGTGGCAACAAAGAGACACCTGGGGTATGCAGGGGGACTGAGCACAGAGGCCATGAGGCCAACTGTTGGGTGAGCCTGCTGAACGGTTGTATTGAAGTAACCATGGCAACATGCCAAGGTCTAGGATCCAAACAGTGACTGTTGAAATGGCTATCTGCCGCCGCCTGGACCGTCTCCAGTGCCCCCTTCACAACGTGACCCGTTCTGGAGGTCACTTGACGAACCAACCTCAGTACATGTCTACAGACTGACTTGAGATACAATGACTTCCTTCCAACAAGGGGCTCCTAGACACAGAGGAGGAGAGAGGGATTATTTATGAAGGGCCTACAGTGCGCCCACTGCGCACACGGTCTCCTCTGAATTCTCGTGACAACCCTGGCACGCGTATCCCTTGCCTCCTGGCTGGCTCACGGAGGTTCAGCGGCTTACCGAGAACACCTCTCGCTGGTGAGGGATGCCGTCCCAGGGCCTGGCTTTCCAGGCCCACTCTGTTCCCTGCGCCTCGCCTCTTCCATGGTATGGCAAATCTGGCCTGGCCATCCTCCCCCCCCCCCCCCCCGCCCCCTGCCTTGGGTCGGAGACCTTCCTGAACCCTCTGCAATCAGATGTCAAAGGGGAGTGCCTCTCTGGCCTGCATGTGCACTTGGGAGGTAAAAGGGGTAGGCTTAGGAGAACAGATTTTGGGGGGAAATAATGAAAATAACAGCTAACCTTCTTGAACTGCTCTAAGTGTTTCCAGTATTATTAACTGCTTTAATCTTCACAACATTCCTACAAGGCGGACCCCATGATTATGCTCAGGGAGAGGTGAGGAAACTCCCACACACACGGGCGGGTAGCTGGCCCAAGGTCACATGGTGGGTACCTGCAGGACCAGGCTGCCTGGGCCCAGAGTTCTCTCCAGGGGGGTAGATCACACTGTGCTGCTCTAGGTCAATGAATCAAAGGCACAGAGGGGCCACCTCAGATTTGAGCTGACCTCACCCAACCCAAAGGACTTGGAGGTGAAGGAGTGAGCTCTCAGTCACTGGAAGCATCCAAGCCGGAGCTGTGTGGATGAGCCCTGAGCTCCAGAGCAATGCTTCTGACCTTTCGTGTCACTGCTCTCAGAGAAAAGACAGATGAGGGTGCCCATGGCCTGGGACTGCAGCCACTCTCTTGGGCCTTCTGTGACCCCTTCACCACAGGGCACACAGGGCACACAGATGAGGACTACCTCAGTTTCCCCTAGATGGCTGACGGGGCCGGGGGCGGGGAGGTAGAGAGGATCAAGAGCCACTGCAGGGTAAACTCCTCCCTTCCAAGGGGACCCTGGGCACCGATCCAGTTTAATCGCCTTATGATGGATCTTGAAACCCTCATTCTCTCCCTCTACCACTTATCACTGTCAAAAGAAAAATAAACACACTGAGCCAGTCAGGTCGTGTTTGAATAGCATCCAAGCAGATGTCCTCCGAGATCGCTCAGCTGTGAAAGTTACCATTATCCACTGTGCATTTAAATCTGCTTTAAACTATTCTGGAGCTAAAAATACCATGATTTTTAGAAGATAGACAGGCTTAAGCCCTTCCCCATTTCCGGGGTTATGGCAATACTCAGAGGCAATCATTCGCCCTGAAGCGCGTCTTTGCAATTCTGAACCGGGACAGGTTGGATGGGACTCCATTCCTTCCACGCCTAGCCTCCCCAAGGGAAGAATGCAAAAGTAGAGAAGCTGCCCGGCCCAGACTACCTGCGGGTTATGCAAACACTCTCACCACCCAGGACACAGGGCTCCAGTGAAACCCAGGCGGCAGTCACTGTTTCCTGTAGGGGCAGCACTCCATCTGATTCTGCCCGAGGCCAGCTCCTAGGGCTCTGGGCCTAAGGGAAAACTCTTGATTGCAGAGTGTAGGCTGACCCTGGGCAAGGCACCGTGTTACGGCTTGCAGGTCATGCTCTGCAGAAGGCAGCCCCGCTGAGGTTCAAGGAGGGCTGAGGGTCAAGCCCACAGTGAGCCCACCAGGCAGGGCACCCTAGAGCAGTGATGTCCAGTAGAAGCTTCTGCAATGATGTAAATGTTTTCTGTCTGCTCATGCAACAGAGGAGTCGCTAGCCACTGCGACTCCCTGAAGACTCATGTAGCTACGGAGTCTTTGAAATGGGGCTACTGTGACTCAGACACGGAACTCTTGATTTTTTTTTTTTTTTAAGTTTTAATTAATTCGAACGTAAATGCAAAGAGCCACATATGGCTAGTGGGATCCCGGAAGCGGCCCTGGCTAGACACTAGGCCTGAGGCTATGCTTCACAGCGTGGCTTATCTCAGCCAAAGCCCTGGGAAGAAACTTATATGCCCAGACATCAGGGGTGCTTAACCTCACTACAGAACAGCCCTGCAAGGGAATGTCATGTGGCTGTGACACAGGGTCTGGGGTTATGCCCCAATCTACTTTCCCCTTCCAGAGTCGTAAGAGTCCCTGACTTTCACGCAAGTGTATGGCTGACCAAGAGGGGGGAAAAAAAAACATTTCCCAATGTCTCTTGCAGCTAGGTATAGTCACACAGTTAAGTACTGCCCACTGAGATGAAGCCAAATTATTACATTGTGGCTCCCCAGAACCTGCCTTAAAGGACAGCTGTCACATGCCCTTTATCCTTTCTTTTTTCCCACCCCAATGCCTGGGAGGCAGACGTGACGGTTGGAACTCTGGTCACCATTTTAGAACATTAGGACAAGGGCCTACCCTTGTGAGCAGGAAGGAGCCTGGGTCCCTGAGAAATCTGTAGAATGGAGCTATCACATGGATTCAGGATTTTTTACATAAGAAAGAAATTAACTTCTACTGTGTTCAGCCACTATCATCTTGGGTCTCCGTTAATGAAACCTAATCCTGATAAAGCATCTGTTAAAAACGAAAAGTTGAGCTTTACAGTTATGATTTTTGTGCTTTTCTGTAAGGAGTGCCACTTAAAATTTACATTAAAACAAACAAAAATACACCCTCAGTGAAAGAAGCCACATGTAGAACAGTAGATACTGTACAACTCCATTATGAAAGTTCTAGAAAATGCAAACTGTAGTGTACAAAGGCAGATCAGTGGCTGCCTGGCTGGGGTAGGGACTGAAAAGGGACACAAAGAATCGCTTGGGGATGATGGAAATGTTCTGTATTATGGTGGTGATTTTCAGGGTATATGCACACAACGGTTAAAACCCACTGTATTAGGTACTTTACATAGATACAGTTTAATGTACATGAATTAGGCTTAAATAAAGTGGATATTTAAAAAAGATATTCCCTTACTGGAGATTAATACAGGTCAGGGGTAAAGGACATTCTGAAGGCAGTAAAATGCACTGTTACAAAATGATTTTGCATAAAACCTTTACAGTTTCTTTTTGGTTTTATCCTTGTAGTGAGCTGTTGCCTTTTTTTTTTTTTGGTAACTCAAGTGCCCTCATGTTTTTGAGCATCAAAAAAGAGTGTACATTTCTTTGATTGCTAGAATGGAGATTACTGAAGGCTATTAATTTAATGTGAAAGAGTAAAACATGTCAAACTATTTGAACAGTAAGATCCAGTTTTTGTTTTTAAAAGGGGCCACATATATATGTGCACTCACTAAAAAGACTGGAAGGGTATAGAAAAAACATCAACAGTGGTGATCTGAGGATGTAGGGATTATCGGTCATTTTCACTTTCTTTACACCCTTCTGCTGTGTGAAGCACAATGAATGTGTACTACTTTTATAATCAGAAAAAACAACAAACTATTAGTTATGTAATAAAAGAAACGATGTCCAATTGTCCTTGCCTTGGCAGCCTCTGACAAGGGAGGGCTTCATTTTATTCAACTGGACACAAACCAAAAAAGTCAGGCTGTACATAGTAACCAAAGAACACAAGACTAAGATTCTTGGAACCCGCGTTCACACTCCAACTTGTGTCCATATTTGCTACATTTGAGTGATTTAATCTCTCTGGATCTCTGTCTCCTTATCTCTATGACCAAATGGTTAAGACTCAGTTACAGCCAAAAATGCCCATTTCTCAGTTTCCAAAAATCCCAGCTCTGATGCAAGCCGACAGGAATGACGGTAACTGACGCTGTTTCAAAGGATAGCCAGAGGAAAGGAGATAAATGGTCCTCTCCCCCATCTGTCTCTGCCCCCCACGACCATGCTCTGTCCCAGTAGCAGGCACAGATCCACTTACAGGTTTCCTGCCAACAAAACTGAAAAGCCAGTCTAAGTTCAGACACAAAACCAGCATGAGGTCCGATTTGCTGAATCTTTTCCAGAACCCTCCATCTAGAATCTTTCTTCTCCCCCAAGCCCTCTTTGTTCTGGGCAGGATCTCACAGCTTCTCCATCCACCACCAAAAATATCCAGTCACTTAAAACCTGTTTTGGAGCAACATAGGCTGGTGCTGAGCAATTAGGCGTTCATGATGCCCCTGCTGTCAAGTGGTCATTAGTTCAATGAAGGACTATTAAAAGCACATAAAAATCGCAACCCAAAAAACACAAGGCAGCCAAAGCCCGTGCCTTAACTGTGTAAGAGGGCCTGCCCGTAACGTGAAGAATGCCCCCCCACACTCAAAAATGGGGTCGTGTGCTGCCCCTGGGGGAGCCCGAGCCTTTCACTGGCTTTCCTTCTCAAAATCCTCATTTACAGGGACACGTGACCACACAAACACATGCGATATGAATTCTACAAAGTGGTTTTAAACTCTGATGAGAAAAAAGGACGTATGTACAATCGAGACAAAGAACGGGAAGGCATTCTTTGGATTCTCGTCTTTGCAGCATACTTTCTATCTTTGCAATTTTTACCTGACAAAGCCTAAGCCCAAGCCCGATTGCCTGACTTCCTTCCTGAGGTGCTCAAATTCCTGAAAAGCGGCTTTTGCTACAAAAGAAAAGACTCAAAAGTGCCTCAAAGGGGGGCATTCATTCACATCGAGGCTTTTTTTTTTTTTTAAGAAGGCAGCTGATTCCAGTTGGGGGCGGGGGGAAGGATCAGAGAGTGCAGCCCAGCTTCTCACTGGCTGTTTCCCAGAATCAGGCTAGAGAGCCCCCCTCCCCCCCACCAAGAAGACTTCCACAGGCAGAGTGGAACAGGTCAGGAGCCCGTGTGGAAACTCTTCCCTCTACCCTCCCAAGCCACCGGCTAACAGAAGCTGCTTCTTTCACTGACCATTTCCCCTTACGGATAAAGATAAAACTATTCCTAGAAAAGCCTCTGTCAGCAGCAGACTGTTTTCCCTTTAAAAAGAACAACCAGCCAAGCCATCAAACCAAAGGAGTAGCGTAATTCAGAGGGAGTAAGTCCCTTCCCCACTCAAGACAATGTGTAAGAGAAATATATGAATTCATAGCGGGGGCGGGGCGGGGGGAAGAATGCTTTGGTCCCCTGTGAAACTCTACAATCAAGGTACCCTCCATGCTTTTTAAATATCAATGCTGCCAATTTCCCAAACAACAAAACACCACATTCCCCCCCCCCCGCCCCCCCAATTCACAAATGAAAGCAAAGCGGCCTGGAAGAGTAAGTCCAACCACCCAGGACAGGCTGAGGCAAAGCAGGAAGTGATACACAAAGCTCTCAATTCAGTATTCTTCTCTCAAGTACAAGCACAGAACACAGAGCCCACTCTTCAGGAGTGGATTTGATAATTCGGACAGTGACCCGGGCATGATTAGCTCCTCTCCTTGAGCAGAAGTAACAAGGCCGACTTTACCTTAAGAGCACCACAAAGTTCGACAGTGTCTGCGTCGTCAACCACAGTAATTCGAAAATTTGGAGTCTGCAGAAGCTCTTTGAAGAGAAGGCCATTCTCCATTATTTTGCTGCCTATTGACAGGTTAGAAAGAAAGAATTAATAAGAATGCTTAATCTTAACTGCCACATCTAACAGTTTCGAATGTTTTTCTTATTGCAATAAGTAATGTATATTCACCACAGAAAGTGCAGAAAATTCAGGAGTAGAAATAGAAAATAAAAGTATTCCATAATTCTCCCACAGACGATCATTAGCAATTTGGCACGCATCTTTAACCTACTGAAATATGAATATACATAGTTCTTCTCAGAATTGGCAACATAACATTTCATAATCTGCTTTCCCCCATTTTGTGGCATGAATAATTTTCAATGACATATTTGCTACATCATTTTAAATAGCTGCTTTGTGTTTTACTGTGTGTATGTGTTCTTTTTTATCTAAGTATCTTCCTATGTTTAATCCCTAAAACTGTTGCAACTTTCTGCTACCATAAACACTTACGAAGGCAACTTCCAGGTTTTCATTTGTAACAGATTCCCGTTCAAAACCACCCACCCTGTCCTTTCCACTGGAAAAGAGTGCATTCCCTTCCACTCATGTTAGGCTTGACCACGTGACGTGCTTGGACTCAAAGCAAATGGGGCATATTTCCCTACCCCTTAACTTTGGGCTCAGTCATGTGATTTGCTTTGGTCAACAAGACATGAGCAGACATGACCCAGGGGATATTTCCAGCCCACTCATGCAGAAGTAGGGCTGGTTTCCTTGTACCTCTGCCTTCAATGAGAGAACATTCCCTGGGTAGCCCATTGGGCCCTTAAGGAAGAGCCACCCCGCCCAGCAGCTCCAGCCCAGAGCAGCCCACCCACAGGGGACCCACAGATGTTAGCTGTGCTTACTTTGTATGCCACTGAGATTCTGTGATCGATACTTAGCATCACTATGGCGATACAGAACTGATACAAACATCAACAACTTTTTTCATTGACTGACCAGGTGAAGATGGAAATGCATTCAAAGAACACTGGTTTTTGCTACTGCTACATCCTGTCCCCTGAGACAGCCCCTGGAATGGGATGGAGCCTCTGTAGTTTTTACTTTCCCTTCTTTTGTTTTGTCTAGGGACTTGGGATGAAAACTAAGACAAACACAAATGAAACTTTCCGCATAATGCCTGGTGTGAAATCTGCTCTGATCAGTGAGGGTGTGGGGTGGGGCTCGGCTCTGGGAGGCCCTGGAAACCAGATGATAAACCTTCCCAGCCATGTGCTGGCTCCCATGCCAATGTCAGCACACAATGATGGCAGAAAGCTTCACTCAGGTCTACAGTATTGGGGCTCTGCCCGCCTCTAGGTTCCCAAGCATGTTCCCACACGTGTCTCTGCACCTTACAGTCACCTGGGGATCGTTAATGATACCAATGCCCGGCCACATCCCAGGCCAATTAAATCAGTCTCCGTGGTGGAGCAGGCCTCAGTTAACTTTTGAAGCTCCCCAGATGACTCCCGCAGACAAGTCTGCAAACCTCTGATTTCACCTACTTCAGGTTCAGCTTCCTCATGAGTAAAATACTATGGCACCCTCAGGATTATTGTGGGGTTAAATAAGAAGCAGGTGTGAAAACAGCCTATTAGTGCACACAGAGGTCCTACAGAGTAACGATGGGGACGGCCGACACACACTTAGGACTGTATTTCCCCATTTACAGACAGGAGGCCCAGAGAGGTTTACCAACTTGCCCAGGGTCACACGGCAGAAGGCGGAGCCCAATTCTAACCCAGGTACTATGGCTCCAAGGCCCACACTCTGACTCTATGCTATGCTTCCTTGCAGGGGTGGGGGAGGGGTGGCGCGATAAACCAGCAAAACCCAAATAAACATCACAGAGCTGTATTCTTCCAGTGAAGAAAAAAAGATGACTGTCAACAATTATGATTACACGCATAAGTTATACAATGTCAAAATAATCCAGGGGAGAGTGGAAGATGGATGATGGATACATGGGGCTCATGACACTGTTCTGCCTCTCCTTTTGTTTTAAGACACTGTCCATAATAAAATGTTTAAAATCTCTACACCCAACACTTAGAAACACATTTTCTATTCTATAAGCATTGCTATTACCTATTATTTAGTTGAGTTCTCCAAATATTAGAACTGTGTCCGTTTGAGCAAACTCTCCTCTTCCCTTTTCAAACAGTCCACCAGACCATGTGGGTGATTCTGTGCAACACTGTTTCATCACCTGGGTTGAGTAAACTAGCCCCCAGGCTCCACATCGTGACATCATTACTGTCTTTCTCCTGCGTCCCTCACCATGGGCCACTGCTCAGTGCTCCAACACAAAGGACGAACATGAGCACCACAGACAAGCCCCTCACTCAGGTCACTAATCCAGCTGTCTAGAGCTCGAAGCGAGATGCTGCTGTGAGCAATCTGACAGACAAAACAGGCAGGGAGAAGGGCACTCTCCACGGCCACTGATACAGGTGGGGTCTGTCGGGTCCTCTGCGGCTGCAAATTATACACAGTGTCCCTCAGAGAGGTGGGCTTGATTTACTGCGATCTCACTTTTTCTCAGGTGTACTTTTAAAAAAATTATTATTTTAAGTCACAGCTAGGAAAGCACTAATTGTATTATTACCAATCGTAAGTAGTGATGAGGGAAGCAGGGACCCAGACCATCTGGTCCAGAACGAGTAATGTCCAACAGCCATGGGGAAGAGCAGCCCCAAACTCAATATGAACCAAAGACAGGGACACCTCCCTTCTGTTTCATGCCAAGTTTTAGAGATAATCAACCTATGTAATAGGACACCTTCTAACCCTCTTTTCCATGTGATTCCGTATTTGTGTGCTTGGAAGCTCCCAAGGAGCTTATGTATCCTCGACATCTAGCAGATGCTGGATACATAATAGGCTTTGAAAAATATTTGTGAGATGACAGGGGAGAAAGTCTCCAGTTCTTGAAGTCAGTCCCGAGAATGAAGGGAACTCTCACCGCAAGGGGGCACCACAGTTCACCATGTCAGTTAGTATCTTTACAAGCTACTGAAAAACAAGGTTGTTTTTTCTTCTTCCTCCACAGAAGATTCCAGGGGGCTAAAACTCCTGAATCTACCTTAATTAAGAATGAGTTGGTTGCTAATGTCATCAAGAAAGGAGATCTGGATTAACCACAGTGCAATTATCAAATGCAGGAAATTTAATGTTGGAAAATTATCTAATATACAACTCACATTCCAATCTCGCCTATTAGTGCAATGCTGTCTTTCATGGCAACCTTCCCTCCCCCAACCCAGGATCCTACTGCATTTGGCAGGCACGTCTCTCTCGAATCTTCTTTAATCCAGGACACTCTTTAATCTTTCGTTGTCTTTCATGACATGGACATTTTTGAAGCATGCAAGCCAGTTGTTTTGTAACATGTCTTTTACTTTGGGCTTGTCTGTTATTTCCTCATGGTTAAGTTCAGGTTATTTAAGACAATTGAGAAAATATCACCTTTGGGTTTTATCTTCCTTTCAATGTTTTACTTAATTTAACTCAGGTCACTGTGGCCAACCGCGATCCAATCCACAGAGAAGGCAGTAGACACACTGGATAACAGAAGCCAGAGGGCAACAGACATAACTTCTGCGCATTTGTCTGTCTTTACAAAAGAGCCTAATGTGCCCAACTAGAAGCTTTCCTACAATGAACATGGCTTAGAGGTACATAAAAATTCTAGCCAAAACTTTATAGGTAGACACTGGTTTCAATCAAGGATTGGAGATGGTATCTCAGCCTTACAGAATGATTAGGGCAACCAGCCATTTCCAACCAACTGATTGCCAATTTAATAAAAGTAATTATATAATTTCACAGGCTACATTAAAATCACAGGTGGATAAAAGAATAAAACCTATATATAGGCTAGTATACGACGATTTTTTTTCCTGGAAGGATACTTAGAAACTGCTAACAGGGATTCCCTTTGGGAAGAGGGAGGGAAATTACAATTTTTTTTTTAAGGATGCTATTGCTATTATGGAGGAACACCATGTTTTCAGTCTGGAGAATGGATGTGGAAATTTGATGTGTTTTTCCTTTTTCATATAACAATTTCTGTGACAAGAACAGATTACATTTTCCCTTATTTCTTATTGCTCAAAATGCTGGCATAGAAAATAAGTTATATAAGAAATTTAATGCTTCTTGTGATAAATGTGAGACGCTGGCCATTTGGTAATTGAGCCTGGAGGATGTTTGCACAACAGACCTATCCTTGGCTATTTCATACTGTATTTGATTAAAATTGACTAATCTCATGATTTTATATAAATGGCTCAAATCTGCTAAACAATTTGATGAATAAATGAGATCCACCAGCAAAGTTCACAATTTCTTCCTAAGGCAGTGTTAGGTAGAGAGCAGATTCAAGACTATTTCCCTCTGCCTGTGTGATCTTGTATAAGTAACTCACTCATCTGTAAAGCAGGGGATGGTCTGGATGACACGAGGTTCCTTCCTGCTCTACTGGCCTGTGATTTTCTGGAAACCCCATGGATCTCTTATGTGAACAGAACCAGCCCCTTTCCATGCAGAAGAGCTCCAGAGGTGGGCACAGAAATTGGTAAGCCCTTGTACCTTCACAGGAATGATCCCAAGTCACCAGTGAGTTAGGAACCAACTAAAAAAGGACACCATTATATGGCATCTTTAGATGAGCTTGAAGTCAGACAGTCCTGATCCAAATCTTGATTCCACCAATGACTAGCTGTATAATCTTGGGTAAGTCACTGTAACTCCCTGAATCTCGATTTTCTTAGTGGATACCTTAAGATTTGCTGTGGATTTTTGTTTTTAACTTTTTAAAAAGTTTTTATTTTAATTCTAGTTAACATACAGTTTTATATTTAGTTTTAGGTGTATGATATAGTGATTCAACACTTCCATACATCACCTGGGTGCTCATCACAAGTGCCCTCCTTAATCTCTATCATCCATTTACCCATTTCCCCCACTACTGCTCCTCTGGTAACTATCAGTTTGTTCTCTATAATTAAGAGTCTGATTCTTGATTTGT